CCCCAAAACCCCAAAACCCCATGAGATTAAAATTGATAGGAAAATCATTAAAATTGAAAATAAAAAAAATGACATTCAATCGATCATAAATTGATATCTAGAATCTAATTCATCATATTTAAAAGAATAGTGATGTTGATACCATTAAATCATATAACATCACACTGGTACGATACTCAGATATTTATGATTTATAAAAAAGGATAACATCAATGGAGGAGATACAGATGGTAAAACTCCGTTCTTTTGGGCCTGCTAGGAAGGGCGTTTAGAAATTGCTGAATTATTCATAGATTTAGCATGCGATATAGATAAAACAGATTTTGTAAGTTGAATCATTTCTTCCATACAAATCGAAATCAAAGCTTAATTTATAATTTGTAGTACTACAATACTCCTTTGCATATGGCCTGCGATAGAGGGCATCTCCCAATAGTCCATTTGCTTTTATCTCACGGATGCAGAGTGAACCCGTAAAATACGAAGAAACTAACTCCTTTACACATTGCTTCCGAAAGAGGTCATTCTAAAATAGTAGAATTACTATTAGATTATCATATCAACTCCAGATTCTTTAAATATGTTGCTCTTGAGAACGAGATAGATATGAATATTATTGATGACAAAGGTTAAACAGCTCTGATCAAGTCAATAATACATGGAAATTTAGAGATAACTAGGCTATTGATAGAAAATGACAGTGATGTAAACAAGGCAGATAGCGATTATAAAACAGCCTTACATTATGCTTTGTTTGAGGGAAAGGATGACATAGCTATATTTCTAGTGCTTTATGGAGCTGATATAAATGCAACCTGCAAGACTGGAGAAAAACCCATTGAGTTTGCTAACACTAAATTAAGAAAAGCATTAATGGAGATATACAATGAAATTAGTGGGAGAAATGACGAAGAAGAAAAATCAAATCAACATAAATAATCTTAAGGACTAAAGAACTGATTTAATTTCCAATAAATTAAGAAATTAATTAAGTTCCCTCATTTAAGCATTGAAATAGTTATTCAAGGGGTTTTGGGGTTTTGGGGTTTTGGGG